AAACTTGGGACAAGCAGTGCGAACATAACTTGTTGGACAACAGCGTGTGTACGAGATTATGGCGTTGGTACATATTGGCGTAAAGAGATGGTGAACATGTTGTTCTTCATGGATGTCCAGTAACAACCGTCCCTTAGTACTCTAAGTGAAATCAGCGTACTAGAAGCCAAGGTCGGATTTTGTTGGAAATAGTGGGGCCTGGGGGAGGTGGAAAAATATTTAGGGGAGGTGCAGCGATCTAGCTCACGACCCCCATGGAAAGTTAGGGCTTAGAACGGGCCAAAGTCAACGACGTGACGTATGCATGTAGTGTACATATGTATCAGTGTATTAATGAATTATGACTGTACAACTCATCCAATTTTGCCCTTCATTACAATTACTACAAAGTTTCTTTCAAAACATTGCACTGAAAGGGTACTTGACACAGAGATGAATGACTATCACTGTTACAATTTTACAGAAAAACTTTCTTACGAAGTGCAGACCCTATCCAACCGAAAAATGTCAAATTTTCACTTTGATCTATCATTGAAACTTTCCCAAAGGGAGGTGCATGACTTTTCAGGGGAGGTGCAAAAATTCTCAGGGGAGGTGCAAAACGATCTCAGGGAAGGTGCGCACCTCATCAAACCTCCCCTCAAAATGCAGCCATGCCAGAAGCCCGCTGTGCTTGGTGGAGTAAAACCAGAAGCACTCGCATACGACAGAGATGAAATTACAGAGCTTTCTATAGTCTATACCGCTACAATTTTACCGTTTCTCGTTTAGGCAGACCAGTAAGGCAGATCAAGTTGGGGTGACAAGAACAATGGTGGATTCACGAACTCTCTACAAACGCTGGATAATTTGTTTCAGTGTAATTACAGGACGAAACCTAAACTAACTGGACATATTTTCATTAGTTTTTTAAACTGTTATTCCTATAGAGGTAAAAAAGAAGAACCGATTGTCAAGAAAAGATTGTCAAACATATTACATAAAGTACCAGGCGAATGAGCTCCCGTGCACCACGCCGCTGTGCAAATTGGAACAAAATGGCGGAAGTTTGTTTTGAACGTTTAAAAACATCAATATTTTGAAAGATTTTTATACCGTAGTAAACATGAATACAATCACGGCAGTGAAGCAATATGTTACCAAGATGGTCGAGGACAGTGGTAGCGGAATGAAGGTCTTGTTGTTGGACAAGGAAACAGTATGTGTCCTGTTTTATTTTACTCATTTCAGTCACTTAACAATGAATGGGCCATTCCATTTAAATTTAATTTAATACGTGCACCTTCCGTATTGAGGGCCTGGGGGTCTGGATATCCAATGAGGGAGGAGGGTGTCTTCATCTTAAATTTTCCTGAGGGGTAGCTTGAGAGAATTAAAAAAAATGGCAAAAATTTATAGGTGTTTTAGTGATATCCAGGGGGAGGGGGGGGGGACAAATCCTAAAGCGGTTAGGGGCCACCCAGGGTGGAAAGTTTGTATCGTGCAACCGAGATATCGGGCGTGCAATTTTGATGCTTTCTATATACTTACTATTAGGAATGTTTGGTATGAGAAATTTCCGGTATACCGAAAATGTTATACCGATATTATCGGTATACCGGTTTTCCTTTGATAGTTATAAAGGAAAATTCTTTAATGGAAATTTGAAGGAAATTTTGAGTAATTCTAAAAGGGAAAACGATAATGTCGAAGCTGTTTTGAACATGTTTTGAACGACACGTACTCAGTGTAAAATCTCACTGAAGTGGAAATTCTAAATCATTGCAGTAGAAAGTTCTTTGAATTGCCATTCAGTAGTAAAATAAAGGTTATGTTTCGCCATTTAGTTGGTAAATTTAATTAACACGGTATACCGAAAAATTCCGGTATATCGGAAATTTTGGTATATCGGAAATTTTGGTATATCGGTATGGTTGAATATCCGATATCAGTATGGTTGAATATCCGATATCGATATACCGATATTGATTTAATACCGATATTTTTGGTATACCGAACAGTCCTACTTACTATTAAGTTTTTTAAATCTTGGTTGCACAGTTTCAAAACTTTCCAGTCAGGTGGGCCACGTTCATATTCGTGTTGCCAGAAATAACATTGAATCGACGTTAATATGAGTGAGTGGGTGGGTTTTTATGTGAACGTATCGATGTTATCTCGTGGCAATTTGACAATTGATGTCCAAAGTAACCATCCCATTACAGCTTTTGTATTATAAATTTGAAAGTCAAAATACGACTGAATATCGATTGACGTTATCTGGGGTGGGTGGTTGGGATGGTGAAGTAATAATGTCGATTCAACGTTATTTGTAGCAACATGAATATGGATGTGGTCCCTTAAGAGTAAGATATTCTAAAGGAAGTGGCTATTCGTACTGGAACAGTACGCCGAGTTTGATTTGCTATTCGTACTGCAGTCGGAATATTTAAGATAAACAGACCCCAAACCCTTCTCTAACCCTGACCAATATTAATAAATAATTTGAGAGTTAAAAAAAAATCAGGAAAAATTTTTTTAACTGGACCCGACCTCATTTCGCTTTGCACACACACAATGCCTTTGCCAAATATGCTACCGGCAAGCTTTCTGAAAGCTGTTCCAAAAAAACTATATTACTAATTTAAGAAATGTAAGAATCGGTTGCCATACTCCAGTACGAATAGCCACTTCGTATTCTAAAGGTTTAATAGTCATAATAAAAGATATCCTATGGGGTAACTTCCACAAATTGCATCCAAGGGGGTTCCGAAAAAATGCCCCCCACTATGTTTTGTGGTATTGCAATGTCAGCTTCAGTTGATAGAAGTTTCAGATTTTTATACCAAATAAAAAGGAATATCCTGTTGTTTTAATCCATTGATATATGAATTATCAAAATGACCAACTATTTGCCTTCTACATTCACTTAAGGTGGCAACACCAATTTGTCCAAAATGTTCAATTTGTGCAAATTATAGAAATTACTGTAGGTCAAAAGTATTTCAGGGTTTTAAAAGGGGATGTTCAAAGAGAACTGTCTACTCTTAAAGACCTGGTTTGTGGTCCCTAACATTAAAGATTTTGTTTGATATAAAAAAAATTAAAATTAGCCTTTAGGAAGCTTAGGCAGAAAAGAAATGAAAATGCCCTCAAATTTCTGGTTTGTGGATGGAATCCTGGATAAAGAGTTATACGAATAAGGACAAAAAATTATTGTTATGAACAGTATTGAATTTTTTAGATGTAGCTTTCAAATGATGAACTTGGTCAAAAGTAACTATAGTAATTTGAATTCTCTAATTATATAAAAAGGGGCTTCAGCCAAACAGATTATGCATCTGGGATTGTAATAATTTGCTGACATTGATGTATCCGTGTTCCTAATCTTAATATAATTTATTTAATTTAGACTGGCATTGTTAGTATGGTTTATTCCCAGAGTGAAATTCTTCAAAAAGAAGTTTATCTCTTTGAAAGAATTGATGTTCCCAGCCGAGAAACCATGAAACATCTCAAAGCCATAACGTTTCTACGACCCACAAAGGTATGTACTCAGGTTCCAGAGGCTCTTAATTACCCATTGAGTGACAGCACTCTCCCCCTGATGAATAAAATTGTCTGGCATTAGACAGAGTAAAATAATAAAGTAGGGTGCATCTGGGCACATTGCCACTTAAAGGGTTAAAAAGTGAGAAACAGCAAGGTAAAGTAAACTCTAAAACTGAAGAGCTCGAGGTCAAATGACTCAAATCAATTGTACTTCATACATAGATGGTCAGGTTTCATCAGAAAATGTTGAACTAGTGCTGTGATTTTGACAAAGAGCAATTTTGTTTGGATATTACTGAGTTTGAGACAGTTCTCTCCAGTTTTTAAAATTTTTTTTGGTTTTGCCTCAGAGGACAACGTCGGTTGAATCAGTGTTAAAAAAATATTGTTTTTCCCCCGCTTATCGATCATTAACCGCCTCATCCTAGAACCTTGCAATATTGTTTAGCAATTATATTGAATATAATGCAGTTATACAATATGGCTATTTTTTCCATCTTTTTTTCAGGAAAATATTGAGCATCTAATTAAAGAACTCAAATCTCCAAAATATGGAAATTATTACATTTGTAAGTGGCCTAATGAGATGTCGCTCAATATTGTCATCTAGTCGAGCCACTATCACAAAGATGATGGTCGATGTTTACTTGGCTTTTGTTTGTTTCTTTAGATTTTTCAAACACTGTAAAACAATCTGACATTAAGGGAATGGCTGAAGCAGATGATCATGAGACAGTCAAGGAATTACAGGTTTTCAGACAACTACTTTTAAAAGAATATTAAAACGAGAAATTCTGGAGCACCTACTGTACAGTATATGGAAAATGGGCTCCCAAATTTAAGTTTAATAAATAAATGCCTTATTATCATTAATGTCAATGTGAGCTTGCCTACTGTATCTTTGACTCTTTTCAGGAATATTATGCTGATTATTTTGCTGTCAGTCCTCATGTTGTGTCTTTAAATCTCCCATCCTGTGCAAGAGCTGGGGTAAGTTTGAGCTCAGTAAAATAATATACAGTGTGCCCGATACTGATTATCTGTCAAGGCCTAGAAAAGAAATACTGTACCTGTGGTTCCAGTTTTATATTGTGAAAAAATTAGGGTAAGTAGGTCGGGAAAATAAATATTTTTTCATGGTTTTAGGGTGTTTTTTTTCCAGTTTTTTGCTGGGCGATTTTCAGTACAGGGTCTAGACAGGGTGGGGGGAGGGGGTCTGAAAATCAGTAAATGGTAAACATTTTGGTATTTTAATGGTAAAATTTTGGTATTATAATGGTAGATCTTTGAAAAACATTCTGAAACTATAAACAGTATTTTTTTTCCCTCATGCTTCACAGTAAAATTTTATTGTTTTCACGACTGAGGTAACCAAAATTGAGTGAATCATGACTCACAATATACCCCATCAACACCCTCTCAGTAGAGTCCCGACATCAATATCAACTAGAGATACGTATTTTCTATGGACGAATTTTGACACGCTGTATGCTGACGCCATTTTGACACGCTGTATGCTGAGAAAATAGGGTCGCACAGTCAATCGCGTTGAAAAAATAATAGGATTGGCAGAAAAAATCGGGAAACCGTAACCACAGGTGTTTTTTTTTAGGCCCCGAATCACTATATAGGGGTGCTTTGGAGCACAATATACTGTTTCTTAATGGTCCTTAATGGGTTGAATGCAGTAGTGATTTAGTTAGTGTAAATGCAAGACTGTGTTTTCATCTGTTGAATGAATGAAATTTCTTCAAATAGGGTTCAGCGTGGGACATAAAGGCATTTGACCGCACAACTGATGGACTGTGTGCAATGTTATTATCCTTACGCAAATCTCCACTTATTCGATATCATGGTTTCTCAGATATGGCCAGAAGACTTGCTGGAAATATTAGGGTAATACACATGCACATTAGGGTTATAGCAGTACAGCTTGTGAATGTACATGTAGCATAATATTTTGCAATAAGCTGCATTGGTTGTGTTACTTTGAACTACCGTCAAGTGTTGCTGTCTTTTAAATGGTCGCATTTGTTGGTTTTTAGCTTGCTATTGACAAGAATGCAACAATGTTTGATTTTCGTCGGCAAGATATTCCTCCATTGTTGTTGATTCTTGATCGCCGTGATGACCCAGTCACACCTTTACTTAATCAGGTATGAAAGACTTTGAATTGTCTTGAACCGAACTACCCTGTACTGTAACCTTCACAGGATAAATCTGTCCTTCACCCTGTTCCCGCCCTCCATGGAGAACATGTGTGATGATAATTAATGTTTGATGGAGTCAACTTGAAACTAAATTAACACTTTTAATTTATGCCGTGGTTATTGCTTCGATCGACACCGAAACTTTAAGGTGTATGGCTATAGATCCAACAAAAGTGTTTCCTCGTTCTTTAAACATGCTAAAATGATACCAAGTAGATATCAGTTACAGGGTTCGTAGCGGTCTTTGAAATCCTTGAAAGTCTTTAAATTTGAATGCAGGTCTTTAAGGTCTTTGAAAAGTCTTTGAATTGTGTAAAAAAGCGAAGAAAGTCTTTAAAATTCTTTAGTGGGTGTTTGATTATACGATTTCCTAGCTAATAAAATAGATTGATTGAAGCAAGATTTTCGCAAATATCGACGAAAAGGCACATTTTAGGATGTGATTTGACGGGACTAATTACTGGGTAAAAATGTTGCTTACACTTGCAATTTTTGGACAGCTGATTGCTCTCAAAGGTCTTTGAAAAGTCTTTGAAAATAGGCGGAAAAAATCTTTGAAAGTCTTTAAATATTTTTGGTCTTGGAGACTACGAACCCTGAGTTAATTTCAAGCAATTTCTCCATAGTACATGTAGAGTGTTTAAGGCATTTGCCTCACATGTGCTATCGCCCGGATCGAATCCGGGAGTGAAATTTTAAGTGTATGTGTAAGAGTTCTACCTACAAACAAGTGGCCAGAATGCTTAGGATAAGAACCAGTTAGAGTTAGAGTAGGGGTGAGAGTGCGGGATAGGTTCATAACAAATTTATTATCCATAAAAAACAGAATATTGTATGTACGCAAACGTAATACCACATATGTCGGATCTATAGCCATAGAACTTACAGTAAAGTTCTGGTGTCGGATCAATAATCACACTGTTTAATTTATACTGGATAAGCAAACTGTTGTCTCTAGAAACGCAGTAAGAGTCATTCCCTATAATTGGTGTGCTAACCACTTAAAAAGGAGTACGTACAGTACCACGAGAATAGAACCAGCATTGGTTGGCTGGAAGCACTCTCTCACACAAAACTCATGAGAACGTATCACATTGCAACTGAATTTTGCAGGAATAGAAATATCATATGATGTGCTGACGACTTAATTTATCTTTTTCTGACCAGTGGACATACCAAGCCATGGTTCATGAGCTGCTTGGTATAAACAACAACAGAATTGACTTGTCAAAAGTTCCAGGCATCAGCAAGGATCTTCAGGTGAGAATCGGTCATTCCAGAAAGGCATGCAGGCATACAGTACTTCTCCTACGGAGGAAATTGGTTAACCCTGCCACCCCTTTCCCCCCTATCCCTTTGGACAGCAGAAATTTCCTCCTTTGGGGGAGTGTGCCACATCTTTTGTGGAACGACCCAATACAAACGATGTGTATATTGTGAGTGCAAACACAAACTTAGCTTAATGACTTTTAAGCCTATCATGGCATATGGTACATGTACTGTAATGGCAGTGTCATAGTATGTAATATTTTTTGCTTTATAGGAGGTAGTTCTGTCATCTGAGCATGATGACTTCTACCAAAAGGTATGTACTGTATAACATTTTCATGGTTGCGCACCTCTAGTGGTAATTTAGCTTCATAAGGCCTGGTTCACCCTAGCAATTCTGTGGTCTGACCCAAACTCAATTAGGTCTGGCCCAAACATTTTGTTAGATGGTTCTCTGAGCCACCAGGCCCATCAATATGCCTGTTTCCTCTGTAGTGGCCGACGGTTCCTTGCATAAGAAACATACACTAGAAAACCACAGAAAAATAACATAAATATTTGCGAAGGACAGGGTCAATACACCAGCTGTTTTTTATTTAGAACAAATATTTGAACTTTGGTGAGATTGCCCAGAACAGCAAGGAGTTGATGGAAGAATTTCAAAAAACTGTCAAAAGCAGTCAGAAATTGGACTCAATTGCCGATATGAAGGTTTGTGCTGGATTTAGGTTCAAAAGGACGGGGGTCTAATATCAAATATATATTTTTTTGTTTAACCCATTAAGCGCCAGTGCTCTCCCCTTGACAAGTAAAGTCGTCTGGCATTAGACAGAGTAAAGTAATAAAGTAGGGCGCATGCGAGTCAATGGGTTAAAACAAAAATAAAATATTGTCAAGCATGATTACTTGTCAAGCATGATTACAGACTAGTGCCTTGTTGCTGCAGCTCCGTTAAGTGATTAATATGTACCTGGTCAAAATAGTCACTACATGGATGTGGCAACATCCGGCATTCAGTAAAAATTTGCCGGATATTTACCAGATATACTGTACTGGAACCATCTGTTTTGCATTAAGATATTATGAAACACAACCAACTAGTCTACTGGACAATGTGACACAATAAAATGAATTTACAGGTGACACTTTTTTTTGTGATGTAAACTGCTTTCTGCTTGTATATCGTCTGATGATCCTTGTGCCACATATGTACTAAAAGACAAATGAATGGACTTTTTTATGACAAAAAGTATCGCAATGTATCGTCCAAGTATTGTACCACCATCATTATCCGGTTCTTGTACCCAGCAGACTACTATCCGGTATCTGGCAAAGCAGTATCCGGCTCATTTCTGACATGCACTAACCAATCTGAAACAAAATACCCCTAACTGTAACATTTTCATTTTGTCTTTTGCCAGGCTTTTGTAGAGAACTACCCCCAATTTCGTAAGATGTCAGGTACGGTGACAAAACACGTGACAGTGATCAGCGAGTTATCACGTTTGGTGAATGAATATTGTCTTCTGGATGTCTCAGAACTCGAGCAAGATTTAGCGGCACAATCCGACCATACATCAGCTCTGCAAGTAAGAACTTAACTTATGGTTCGTTAAGGAGTTCCACTGTGCTTGAACATACAAACTGAAATAAATTACTTAAAAGCACTGATCTAGATCACTGGTTAAAAGCAACTTCTAATTAGAACGATTCATGCCAGTATATGTAGTGAGAATAACGAAAATTTGAGAACTACCTGTAAAAATATAAACAGAACTTCAATGTTTCAAGCGATCGAAGGCCCTAGCTTTGTCTGGAAGTTAGTATATTTTCAGGTACAGTAGTTATTTCTCTAGTCTTAATTTCTAATTAGCTCTGTCAGGTCTGTCCAATTTAATGCACCCTGTTTAAGGGCTTTGACCTCTTCTGATATACTACGCAAATGAGAGGAAACCTAATAAACTAAATTAGGTTAACTAGAGACATTGTCAGATTTTTTAGTTAACCCATTAAGCTGCAGAGGAGTAAAATCGTCTGGCGTTAGACAAGTAAAAAAATAAGTAGGGCGCATTGCGGCTCAATGGATTAACTAGAGACATTGTCAGATTTTTAGTTAACCCATTAAGCTGCAGAGCTTCCCTATTGACGAGTAAAATCGTCTGGCGTTAGAGAAGTAAAAAAATAAGTGGGGCGCACTGGGAATTGGGAATTGCATGGGTAGCATTGATGTAAACAACATTAGCCAAACTTGCCTGTTATATTGCCCAGTAACTCTAAACAGGTCTAGTGATTCTACATGTGGAAACCCAACTACAAGTAGACTAATTTTATTTAATACAGTTGATAGCTCTATCAGTTCTACTGTAGGTGTTTTTCCTATACAGTAGTTCACCCATTGATTGCCACCATAGATATCTTATATACACTAGATAGCGCATCTCTTTTAGTGAAATTGAAGCCAAGAATATTCCAGCGGTTACCCCCATTTGAATAGATGGCGGCAATGTTGGTCGTTCCCACTTGCTAATAAACGCTTAAAAACAACAATAACTTTCATTATTTGAATAGTTTAAAAACGTATTTGGAATAGGGTTAACTTAATGTTTAAGTTCCCTGTTTAAGAAATAGAAAACATACGAATCTTCTCAATTCATGGGAACCACCTGAAACTGCAATCACGGCTTCAATTTTTGAATTGCAGAATAATTAGATGCACTGTCTAGTGTATATAAGATATCTATGATTGCCACGAACACAGCCTTCTCTAGCTCGTTATTTTGTTCCAAGTAATTGGTTCCAAATTAATTGATTTCTAGCGTGTGCGTCGTCTGATCGAAAATCCCAAAGTGCGAGATATTGACCTCATGAGAACAGTTTTACTTTATGCATTACGCTACGAGAAACAGTCTGACGTCTCAGGGCTGCTGAGTTTGCTGGCGAGACGAGGAATCAGTGATTACTACCGCAGGGTGAGTTTGAACAGTCAACTAACTTCATTTATTTCATGACAGCAATGCCTTCCAACAATTTCCAAAAATGTGGAGTAGTTTGAGACATTTTTTAATTTTTGAAAAATATGCTGCGGTGCCCCCTTTGCTAAACCTAGGGTTGCCTAGGGTTTTAAAAGACGTTTTTTCAGTTGAAAGTAATTGTTTTGATGAAAGGAATGGTTTTCGACAATTTTCGGAGAGTTTGGAGTAGGTTGAGGCATTTTGGTTAATTTTTGAAAAATTTCCTGTAGACTGAGGAACATGTTTTTAAAACATGTTTTTATCAGTCGAGAGTAATTGTTTTGATGAAAGTATTGGTTTCCGACAATTTCCAGAAACTTTGGAGGAGGTTGAGGCAAAAAATTATGTGGTCACAACAGGCAACCATATTCCCTATTGTCCCACTATGGGTTTCCACCTATTTTTCAAAAGCGCAGCTTCTCCCTCAAAACGTTTGAGAGATGGCTGAAACCCATTTCTTTCATGAAAACCATGATTTTCAAAATCAAAGAAATATGTTTGGAGAAAATTTTTGGTCAAATGTAAGGGGGGATCACGGGCAACCATATTCCCTGAAGAGGTGCATGGGCGGCACATGTACTAATGTCTGTCTAATGCGTCGTTATCTAGATGGTTTCAGCAATAGTGCAATATGGTGGTAAGAATGTCAGATCTAGTGACCTCTTTGGACAAAGTAAGACACCAATGTCGCTAAGCCGCCGTTTGTTCAAAGGACTGAAGGTATGGTAAGGGGTATATGGGTGTGGTACAATGTAATTTTTAATGATGTGGTATGGGGTATTACAATATGGCGTGTGGTATGCTATGACATGGTATGGTGAATGATGTAATGCGTGGATATAGTTTTATAGCATGGTACAGTATCAGTATGGTATACTATGGCATATTAGTATGGTATGGTATATGGTTTGATGTATGTAGTACTGTGTGTGGCATGTATTGTATGGTGCGTGAAAGCCTGTGATAGGTTCTATTAGAATATTGTGGGAACCTCTTTCGATTGAACCAATGTTAAAGGGTTATTTACCGTAATAATTACCCTATATCTTACCTAGAGCTCGATAACTGTCTCTCTGTAGCTCAGTTGGTTCATATAGCGCTGCACCGGAATCGCAGGTTGGATTCCTGTCAGGGACCTAAAGTTCCATTTTTCACAACTGTTCCTGGTTAGGCCTGAATAAATGCATAAAAATGAATATGTATAGAACTCGACATTTCCACGTAATAAGTTGTGCATTTTGTTTCGTAGGGTGTTGAGAACATTTACACACAGCACGTACCATTAATACAAGAGATTTTGGACAACCTTATTAAAGGAAAGTTGAAAGAAGCACAGTTCCCTTACCTTGGGCCTTCACAGCTCAGAGAAAGGTAAATATAAATTAATAAACCTATCATCGTTTGTGTGTACTGGACCACCACGTTTGAGATATCTTTTTTCAGGTAGTTCAGACACAAACTACGACAGCTTATTGTAGAATACTACCTACACTGGACCATCACGTTTGAGATATCTTTTTCAGGCAGTTCAGACACAAACCACAACAGCTTATTGTAGAATACTACCGACACTGGGCCACCACGTTTGAGATATCTTTTTCAGGCAGTTCAGACACAAACCACAACAGCTTATTGTAGAATACTACCTGCACTGGACCACCACGTTTGAGATATCTTTTTCAGGTACTGTAGTTCAGACACAAACCATGACAGCTTATTGTAGAATACTACCTACTGTACACTGGACCACCACGTTTGAGATATCTTTTTCAGGTAGATCAGACACAAACCACGACAGATTATTGTAGAATACTACCTACACTGGACGCCAAATACGAACAAATCTTTCATTTCTTTAGACCTCAAGATGTTATCGTATTCATGATTGGTGGAATCACCTACGAAGAAACGTTAGCTGTTCATAATTTAAATAAAAGTGTTCCAGGAATTCGGATTGTGCTTGCAGGCTCCACCATACATAACTGTAAGAGGTCAGTGTAAAACCTTTAGCTAAACGTCCAGTATTACTACAGAGTACCCTAGGAAAACCTTCTTAGTTCCAACCTGGTACCGAGAGCCAATAGATTCTTTGACTCTGGGTACGAGATTTGCTTGGTGCTTGTTAGAGGCAATAATGCAATGACCACTGCGACACCAGCACCTCTGGCAGTTCTGCATTAAGCAGTGCTAGAGAAAATAATTTTCTTCCTGGGAGCATAACCTGGAAATAAACTTTCCTGCGAACCAACACCAACTGAGTATGTTTGTGCTAAATTTCTGCCTAAACATAGTGCCTAGCTGACCGTGGTTTTAAATTCAAGGGAAGATGTCGGTCAACAATTAGTTGTTGGGCCCATTGTGGTACATGCAGTATGTGTTAGGATTTCCTTCAAACTTTGCAAATATTCAATGTGACACTTTTCAGCAGCTGTCTAATTAACATTTCATGCGAGCGGTTAGCGACGAAAACCCAAAGAGTGAGTGGACTAAGTTATTTCTATTTTGTCAATATTTTAGTTTTCTTGAGGAGGTCGTTAAAGCCACTGGGATCGCAGGAGAAGAAAAACGAACAAGAAGTACATCTGGTCAACGTCATGGTCCAACAACGTTTTAACAACGTTTTAGATTGATGTATATAGAAATTGTATCCTTTAAATTCCTGGGGCTGTTTGTATAAAAAAGTGATTAAATTTCACTATGATTAATTAATTAATAAGTACACTTATAAGTGCATTTAGTTAACCAATCAGAATTTCTGAAAGTAGAGTTAAACACTTTTTAATCGCAAAAAAGTGATTAAAAAGTGATTAAAAGTTTTATACAACCAGCCCCTGGGCACAATTGCCTCATGAATTTTGAACTGTAGCATTTTGCAAATCAATGACAATTTAATGAAATAGTTTTAATTATTCCCATTAAGGATCTCAAACGTGGTCGTCCAGTGTAGATATACGATAGTATTCTACAATAAGCTGTCGTGGTTTGTGTCTGAACTACCTGAAAAATATATCTCAAACGTGGTGGTCCAGTGTAGGTAGTATTCTACAATAAGCTGTCGTGGTTTGTGTCCGAACCTTTTTGGTGGTTCCGAATCTACAGCTTATTAGCGTTTAGGCCCATTTAGACTCACGAAAGAGATCTTTATCATTATTTATATCATCCTAACTTTGATAATGCAAACGAGAAGTTAAGTTGTAACGAACTGCAGTTTCTTTCATTGTATGAAAGTTTTGGCGGTAAATAATAGTATAACGAATCAATAGGGGCGACAAACAATTTATTATAAATATATAAATTAATTCAACAAGAGCATTCACTATATTTCTTTAATATTTGATCTTATTTTTTATTCCACGTATGAAAACATTCGCTTTGCAAAAAAGATCATTCTCTGGACAACGGGGAACGGCTATTTGTTTGGCATCATCTGTGTTTGCGATCCATTCTTCATTTTTGCAAACATAATGCGATTTCGTTGCAAAATCGTTGCCGTAATACCTGGTTAAATAACCTGTGATATTATTGGGGCAGACAGTTTGTATACCTATGAATACACAAGGCTTTAAGGGAAATATTATCGCTCTTTTGTGAGTCTTTCTCTTCCAGTCGTCTAGTAAATAACTGTCGTTATCACGTAAGGCAAACACATCAAGCCATGTAGTTCGCTCGGAAGTAGGAGGCCTGAGCACTATCCTTGCACAAGGATCTAAGAACGTACATTGGTCGACATTTGTTGTAACTTCGAAGCCTTTGCAGGTTTTCCGAGGCGTGTCTATTTTTGGATGATGGCAGTGTCGTTGATAAATCAAATGTGTTCTCCCATCGTCTGCCTTGAACGGTTTCGGCTCGTCTTCCATTTCGAGTTTATAAAGTTCGTTTCGGAATATACATACATCCAAATCGTTATCAAAAGGAATGACATCCCCGTCTCGGTGGAGGCCCAGTAACGCTCCGTAGCAAACAAAATAAGTGAGATTTCTACGAGTTGCAATCGACACCCAAGTACGGAATAGTGTTTCCAAACGTTTGTGGAACGGATTTTCTGGGCAGCCTGAGCCGTATATGGTAGAGTTTGACAGTCTGGGTGACGTGTAATTTGCAAAAAATACGTCCAGTGTTCTTTGAGAGATCAGTAGGAAGATGATTACGGAGACTATACAGACGGTTGCGATGGCGTATTTGTTTTTCATTGGGATTGGATAACATCAGGTGTGCCTGAACGATAACTAAAAATAACATTGTTAGACAAATAAAATATTAGCAAAATCAGTCAGCCGTACTGTTCGAATGTTATCAAGTAACAGTTTAAACGAATTGTCCTGCCGAGTTCCAGAACCTATAATTTTGGATCTTGGAACCGTTCCAGACAATATTGCAAAATTCTTTGTCACCGCCCCCCCCCCCCTCCAGTTCAACGCCAAAACAACTTTTGGTCGTTTACAATGACACAGGCTTAGCAACGAATTGGGTGAGCGGGGGCTTAATTAAGAAGGGCAACATGATTCAGCCTGGAATTTATCATAAGCGGTTTGCCAATTTTGTATAGGGGGAACATAGTCTCAACCAGTTATGCCCAAGAGTATCAAGCAAGAGTATGAGTTTACCCTGTTGTGACGGGGCAGTTCGCTGACATTTGAAATAACATTTCGTCAAAACTTTTTTCTTCAAGATTGGTTTAGAAACAAACTTGGAGTAGGGTTAGGTTAGTACTTGGAATGGGGTTAGAGTTAGTAAAACCGTTGCTTTGTTACGTTTTGTCACTCCGAAGCCAGCGAAATAACTTCATTCGTTGTGATGTCACACATTGCTGACGATGCATGGCACTTTCTCTAAAGTTAATTTATAAAACTGAGTGAAACAACTTTTGTATCAATAGCGATAGAGAAAATGTGTTAAAAGTTTTTAGGATATATTGAATATCTTTTCCAAACTAGAATTGATTTTATTTACTGCCTTTATTTTCTATCTTTCACCAAAGGCAAAGTATTTATAATACGATCACTCATTCCCAAAATTAGCGTAATTCTAGAGCTATGCCTATCAGCCTATGCGAATGTTCAACGAACATTCAATAATCCAATAGTCCACCATACTAGAGCCTTGAACGTTTGGCAAACCACGGCTAGTATTAATTTCTATTAAGCCATGTGGCATAGTTGTCTGTTTGACACCACCTGTTTATTATAAGGCACACCAATGACACGATAATACATTTCTTATAAATATGGAATGCCCCATTCCGAGCTATTTACTTACTTGCTTTAAAATGATTGACTGAAATCTCCCAAATCGTACCATATGCGAACGAAAAAGTTCAAAACTAAATCAAAACGTTCGACTTTTAACTAATTTCACGTTTTTGAACGTAATTATATATTCATGTTTACGTTCCGAAACCGGTTATTTTCGCATTCGGTAACTATTTTGCATAAAGTTGCATAACTTAGTTGTCCACCAGCGAAAAATAAATGCAGTGAAAAAATTGGAAATCTTTTCGGAATATTCCACTGCTGATTACATGCCTCAAAGTTACACGCTGTCGCTGTTGTACAATAGGGTGTCCCAAAAAACACCCGAAACTATTGAAATAATTTAACGTATTGTTAGAATTTGAATGCCCTACCACTAGCTCAACGCAAAGATGCGTAAAATATTGACCGAGGCTAGTATTATATATTGACATAATAAGAAACTAAAATATCTTTGTAAAGCACACCATTTTCTGCTCTTGGGAATATAACTAAGCAGCAGCTTTTAATTCTAAAAAGAGAATAACCTAGCAAAAATGATAAAAAATACAAATTGGTCATACAGGGTATCCCAAAAAACGACAATGAATGAGAAAAGCCGAGATCTGTAAAACCTGGAATGAGAAAAGTCGAAATCTGTTTTACGGATTACAGCTTTTCTCATTCCTGGTTTTACGGAATATAGCTTTTCTCATTCCTGGTTTTACGGATTACGGCTTTTCTCACTCCTCGTTTTACGGATTACAGCTTTTCTCATTCCCGGTTTTACGGATTGGTGGATTACAGGCCTCCGAGTTTAAAGATTCGGGGGGTTTTAGTCCAAGTTTATTGCGGGTTTCTGGATTCCAAGTTTAATTAAAGATTCGGGGGTTGTCGATTCCAAGTTTAAAGATTCGGGGGTTTGTCGATTCCAAATTTAAAGATTTGTTTTTTTTTCCATTCCAGGTTTTAAAGATTCGGGGGTTTCTCGATTCCAAGTTCAAAGATTCGGGGGTTTCTCGATTCCAAGTTCAAAGATTCGGGGGTTTCTCGATTCCAAGTTTAAAGATTCGGGGGTTTCTCGATTCCAAGTTTAATTAAAGATTCGGGGGGTTTTCCATTCCGAGTTTATTTAAAGATTCGGGGATTTTTCGATTCCGAGTTTAAAGATTGGGCAATTTACAGCTTTTCTCATTCCCGGTTTTACGGATTACAGCTTTTCTCATTCCCGGTTTTACAGATTCCGGCTTTTTCATTGCAGGTTTTACAGATTCCAGCTTTTCTCATTCCGGGTTATAAAAAGATTCCGAGAGAATTTATCAATTATTTAAAGTACCTCGGATTGGCCAATCAGAGCCATAGTCGAGCTGTCAGTGCGTCTTGCTTTAGCCAATAGCGTGGCTGCATTTTCTTACACGAGGCAGCCGGAAAATATGAAATTCTGTGCTTTGGATAATATTTGGGCAACCTGGACGAAGGCAGCATTCTATTCTGGCGAAGTTGTTCGAAGCATTTGGAAACGAAAATTATGGCCGAAATTGCTCCATTTATCTCGCCTTTGAAGCGAAAGTCTGATTAGCTTTCTCTGCTACACTTATTGGTGAAACGAACAGGTAAAATACTCTTTATTTCATGTTTATTTGTGTATTTATTCGAGCTGACTTACGAGACGATTTTAAACACGTGGGCGAATTTGCCGTTCACGTTTAACTTCAATTTGGTGAAATTCCTGTTCAAATATCAAGCGTATTTCGTCGAAAGAAGCTTTAAAAACGTTCGTTATAGCTAACGTTGCTTATGTTTTATTTTAGATGGAGTTTTTACAAGTTAAAAGCAGGTTAAACGTCGACAAAAGTTGCGTACAAAATATTCAATGCGACGTCTAAATATTTAAATTCCTCAAAGAAAGCAAGAATGCAGATTACATTTAACTTGGTTAAACAAACAGGTAATTACAGTCTTTGTTTCGTGTTTGTTTTGTGCAATTATACCACTTACATCTCAACTTAAATGCGAGACGAATAGGATAAATAAGATGCGTGTCGAATGCATGAATAATTTCACTTTGCCTTTGCGAAAACTCTTGCGCAAATACCAAGCGTATTTCGTTTAAAAAGCATTAAAAACCTTTGTAGATAGCTAACATTGCTTCTGTTTTATTTCAGATAGAGTTTTGACGAGTTGAACCGTTCAAACGTAGACGAAATCTGTGGACAAGATCAATTCAACAAAGCCGAAAGTTACGTTCGGAATTGGTCAAAATTGTCTCGCGTTGGCTTTGAAGAGAAAGCAAGCTTAGCTTCTCTTCCACAAACACAGTGACTTCTTGGACAGAACAGGTATAAAAATACACCGTTTGTGTTTGGTTTGTGCTTTTGCACTACATATATCTCTACCGAAATGGGAGACAAGCACTCGAGCACGACGAATGTTGAAACACGTGGTCGAATTTGCTTTCGCCTTCGTTCGCTTTAGCGAAAACTCCATGGAGCTCAGATTTTCTGACAGTTTTAGTTGTAAAATATACTTTGAAAACCTTCCAAGATAACTAACGTTGCTTTTTTGTATTTTAGGGTGGAGTTTCAGCGAATTAAGCTATTTTACACGCCGAAACCCAAGCCGTAACCTGTTCTCATTGGATGTAAGTATGACTGAATAATAGAATATCAAGATTTAAATTTTTTATTTTTACACCAAAATAATTATTTGCAAATATTCAAATTGCTCAAAATAACACTGGAAGGGAAGGTGGGTGACAATTCGCCCCCCAAAACGTGCAAGCAAACAGGACCGTAATTGGGGGGGGGGGGTGAGCTTGTTTTGCCTGACCAATAGGGTGTGGCAAAAGTCTTGGCCGACTGACTTTTCAGTTGCTAAATTTAAAATATTTCTTTTCCTAAAATTTTCTCCGTAATATTATCGTAATTTGTTGCTGAATTACATACATTTTGCCTGACAAGCATGTCATTAAAATTGCTAAAATTGTCTGACAAAACTGCAATATTACAACATTGAGGGGGTGTCGCCCCCTCCCCCCCCCCCCAGGAGTAACACCCCTGCAAGCAAACAAAAACTTTTTTCTTTTAATGTTTTACAGAAATAAATGTAGCTTGCACCATTTTACATGGTATTTTTCTTTGTACTTTGGGTGGGGGTGGTGGAAGTGTAACCCCCCCCCCCCCATCCTGGGATTTCTAATGGCCCGTCCCTAATGGCAACATATTATATGTATTTATGACCTGAAGTGCATTGTATCTGCCAAAGCTTATTTTGCTTTCAATTATATTTATATTTACAATGTTAAAAATCATATCACACAATAGGTTGGTCATTCAATGTGATTTCAACATATTTTTTTGCTGTTCATGCAAAAACAAACATTTTGTCATTGAACACAAAAATGAAATGTCATGGTATTGATAATGAAATCTGGTTAGCTTATTATTTTCTCATAATCTTTTTTCAGGTTGTATTATATCCCTCAAATCCCGAGGGTTTTTTTTTCCAAAATGTGTGGAAAATATATAGAAGACTAAATGAAGAAGAATTATTGAAGGGTTTAAGATGATATTGTAACCGACACGCCCAGCCGACACGGAAGCTCCGCCGAGTTAACACAGCCAAAGACGAGGCAATATATCCAGCGTATCCTTTAAAGTGATAATTAATACTATAGTGAAAATATTGCCTCCCATCGGATTCACAAGAATGAAGATGTTGTAAGGTTTGATTAGTCTGGTGGTCAATCAATGTGCATGCTAGGTTTAGGATACGATTTCACTTATACAGAGTTTGGTAGATGAGTGTGCTCATTATGTATACTGGGCTATCATCTCTGGTGAAATCCTGAACTTGTATCTTAGACTTGTCTTCTGTTAGAAGATTGGAGTCTAAGATGATGGTTCAGTTGCATAGAGGCGTCGGTCACGCTTGCGCTCAGTTCATGTAGTTTTGACCACCAGAAAAATTTGTAGGTTAATGTAGTTCGGCAGTGTTTCGCCTTCGGTATAAAACGGTTTATCCGAATCGGATGGAATTTTTGTGCATATAATTTGGTCCTTATGACCTTTGAGTTCAAGTTCGGTGATTCGGCTAGGGGTTCGGTTATAATTCGGTAATTGATTGGGTCATCTGGACCTTTAATTATATGCACATGCATGAGAATTGATTTCTATAAATATATTGAATCGCATTTGATCCGATTATGATTGCTCGCATGCTTAGGTTGATAAAATATATAAATTTATACATGCATGGGATAATTAGTTATAGGTGAAAAAATATGTTAATAAAATATGTAATATGTGATAAAATTATAAGAGAACATATTATAGGTTATACAAATAACAAATGCAAACCATATATGAAATCACATAATCCTGTAGGTCTTTAACTCTTTATTGCCTTGAAAATACATGTTGTGCCTTTTAGTTCAACATGTATAACTGGGCATCTATTCCTGCAGTTCTATATTTAGGCTGCGCATTCTATATAACAATTATTTTGCTTCAGTTATATAAAACACACATGCTTTGTAACACATGTATTACTATAGTGTAGTTTTTTGTTTATTCAATAAAACTTGTATCTGTTGTTGTTTGTCTCTTCTTTTGGATAGTCTTGTATATAACAATAATAACAAAATGATCAAAACATGCATGTACTTGCCCAAAAATAAAATCTAAATAACCTACATCTGAATCCTTCAAGTCTCTTTCGGCTTCTGTGTCTTCGATCCCTTCTTGTCTTTAAAAAGTTAATACTAAAAAGTTAGATGTTCTTTGTCTACTGTTCCATTTTTAATATAAATTATATAATATAAATATTTAGGTTCATATATACTTGTCTGCACTAGCTTCTAAAATATTAGATCTTCGATCATCATTGTACACACATGCTTTGTAACACATGTATTATGTATTACTATAGAGTATTAAATAAAAGGCAAAAATCTGTTGTTTCCAATCTGTTATTTATGTAGTCTTGATAATGAATAAATAAAAACACACATGCTTTGTAACACATGTGTTATCACTTCAGTATTTGGGTAACTTGTTCGTTCAATAAAGCACCAAAATCTGTTGTTTTAATTTATGTAGTTTCAGTAATTATACAAATGAATGAAAACACACATACATGCTTTGTAACATGTGTATAAAGTAATTTGTAATACCACTGAGGAATTGTTAATTTTAGTCCTGTTTGAGGAATTTATTTTAGTCCTGCTTATTAGAGAGGGGCCATCATAGCCAGGGGGTTTAATAGAGAGGGGCGTCGGTGATTTACCCTAAAAATGTCTGACTAACATGGACTTCCAAATGAACCAATAAATGCAATTAGAACACATGTGTTCTGGGTGGGGAGAGTGTGATATTTAGAGAGGGTGTCAATAAGAGATTTTAAAATTAATTTCACATGAAAACCAGAAGGCATACATGGGCAGTGGCATTGTCACTTGATTATTTTTCCAAGGTCTCTGTGAGACTTCCAATCATTCAGCATGAACAAGCAGTACATGTAAAAAGAAGGCGCCACTTTTTGGGTGTACTGTTTGTCCGTGTTGGGTGGCTGGAAGTGTTAGCAGGTATCTTGGGATATCTAATAAAGTTGCAATGTTATTTTCAATGCTGTTTCTTTAAAGGGCAGCTTGCTATGGCTATATGCCCTGGCAAAAAAAACTATTCAGTTACTTTTCAATTGAAAATACTATTTTGAATGCTGTTTCTAAAGGGCAGCTTGCTATGGCTATATGCCTTGGCCAAAAAACTATTCGGTTATTTTTCAATTGAAAATATTTTAAAGCTGTTTCTATAGAGGACAGCTTGCTATTGCTATATGCTTTAGCCTAAAATATTCGGTCATTTTTCAATTAAAAATCTTATTTTCCATGCTGTTTCTTTAAAGGGCAGCTTGCTATGGCTATATGCCTTGGCAAAAAAACTATAAAGTTAATTTTCAATTGAAAATATTTTAAAGCTGTTTCTATAGAGGACAGCGTGCTATTGCTATATGCTTTAGCCTAAAATTTTCGGTCATTTTTCAATTGAAAATACTATTTTCAATGCTGTTTCTTTAAAGGGCAGCTTGCTATGGCTATATGCCTTGGCAAAACTGCTCTATTTTCCAATTGAAAATTTTATAGCTGTGTCTATAACGGGACAGCTATTGCTATCACTATATGTTTTAGCCCAAGAAATAGACTGTGCAGTTAATTGTTAGAATGTCATTTCTTTATGGGTGACGTCAACTTGCTATGTTGCAATGTTTTTCAGTGCTGTTTCTCTAAAGCGCAGTGCTTACTTTTGCTATATGCTTAAGCTTTAGAAATGGACTGTGCAGTTTATTATTTCTATAAAAATCTTGAAAAACTCGTGGGATACACTGCCTATGAATATGTCAATGCAACGTTGGGTGTCTATTAATTACTAAGCAAATAGCTGCTATAAAATAGGGCTATCCAATTGCTCTGAACACCTTAGTACCACATGTATAAATATGTATTTTGAAATGATACCATGTTTGGAAAGCACACAGATCATAATGTGATCATTGTTTGATAATCTAATGCTAACATGAACTAGATTCTAGAATAAGTAACAATTGCAAGTTTATTTAGTATACATGCATTTTATTGTGGCATAAATTTGTAGGGATGTGCCTATTAAAAAATAAATAATATTAGAGAATCGGATAATTAGAGAGTTGGTTATAGAGAGTGGGTTAATTAGATATTGGCCTAGTTAGAGAGGGAGTTGATTAGAGATTGGCCTAATTAGAGAGCCTGGGTTAATTAGAGATTGGGTTAATTAAAGAGGGGGTTAATTAGAGAGGGCGGGGGCTTAAAAGTGGGATTAGTGTAACATGCTTGTAACACATGTACTAAAGTATTAGATGAGCTGTGAATCCAATAAAAAGTAGAAATTCTGTTTTGCATCATTTATTTATATTCTCTCTCTCTCTCTCTCTCTTTGTATTTATGTTTTAGTCCTAATATTTATAAATACAAAAAATACACACGCTTTGCAACATGCATTACTATTAGAATAGGAGATCATTTGTGTTTTTTCAATAAAAGTCCAAAATCTTTGTTTTCAGTGTATTTATTCTATAAGTTATATAGTTTGATATAAATATATATCGATAAACACACACACACACTAATTTGTATATTAGTAGTATAATATTTTTCAATAAAATTCCAAAATTTTTGTTTTCAGTGTATTTATTCTGTAGTTGTATAGTTTATTGATATGAATATATATCGATAAAAAAAAACATGCACGCTTTGTAACACATGCATTAGATAATTATATATAATTAATGTGAATAAAATTTCTAAAAACCTTGTCTCTTGTGGTTCATTGCGGTGAGGGTTTTTCTCCAGGAATGCTGGTTTCCCTCAAAATTATTTTTCATAATTGGCATCTCAACTAAAACGAAACAAAAAGGCAAAAAAACAGTGTCCATGTTTTTGGAACAGCATATGGTGGGTTTTCCATGCTTCATTTACCCATAACCTTGTACAATGCGGCCTAGCAGAGGCACTGCATGAGACTATAGACTATTATGTACCCTATTATTTTAATACATTTCGTATATTAAATTTTATACTGAAAATACATAAATTGCTCTTTTCAGGCAATATTTCAAAAGAAAACTATAGCTGTTATTGCTTAAAATACTCATTAGTAATTCATGAAGAAAATTCAAAAGAAATTTGTTTAATCAATGTTTGTAAATTGAATTAAGATTTGTCCTGATTTACATAAACTAATCAGCTTTGATTTTCTTGGCTTAGACAATGTTTAAAAATACTTATCCAGTGAGCTTGTATTAAGATCTTGCCTTTGGCTCAAGTTTGTATATCAGATAAAGATTGGCTGCTCATGTTTTAAATTAACTAGTACTTAACCCATATTGAGCCCTATCCCCCCAAGTAATGAAAAAATTGCCTAGTGTTTGACAGAGTATAATAATGGCTTTAATAACTTGATTTCTTCGAACAAATAAGAAATCTTAGTGTGAGGGTTTAATATATCTCCCCCTTAAATGAGGACTTATTTAAAGACAGGGTAAGTGGGTTTTGAATCACGAAATGATCATGGAACCCCACCTATTCTGGTTACTGGGTTAAATTCCTGGTGCACTGTGCAAATTGCCTTGGGAACAAAAGTGCAAAAAAAGCTTTTGAAAAAGGGAAGAAATTGCCAAAATTGAATGTTTCAATAAATTGTACTGCAAATTACTTATGAATACAAGTTACGCCTATTCGGCTTATATTGGACAGGTATTAATATTAGAGGGTTATGAAACAGCAAGACGACGATGATTGAGACCAAGGTGAAATTATTACTGATGGCTGAGGGATGGCGAAGATTGAAACAAAATTGATGCTGATTTTTATACCGACTGGGATTTAAACACCTCGGACAAATTGCAATAATTAAATTGTACATACAGTTTATGCAGTATTATTATGCACCTATCAATGTTAACCCCCAGAGGGGGGGGGGGAGGTCGGGCATATGTGGGGTATTTGATCATCAATTGCATCCCCACCCTGGGGAGTTTGATTAGCATTTTGGCCCCGAGTTGGGGCAATTTGAACCGAATGACTTTTATTAATATAGTATTTATTGCAATTTATTGCAAAATGGTGGGGCATTTGACCAATATTTATTGCCCGACGGTGGGGCATTTGATTGAAAATTTGCTCAAAAAATCAAATGCCCCACCTATGCCGGACCCCCCACCCCCTCTGGGGCTTAACATTGATAGGTGCATTATGTTAACCAACTTTTTATTATGTGTTTATATCTATTTATTATCATATTTCCTTTTGTTTACGGTGTAGTTTCCAGTAAATTGCAATAAATATTACTAACACCAAAGCCCACCTGTGAATAGGCCCACCTGTGAATAAGCACACCCCTGTTAAGCCCATCAAAGCGGGAGTTCGACCGACATGGTTTTTTTTTCGAAAACAAAATGCCCCAAACATTTTTTCCAAACACTAGTTTGAGATATTGGGGGGTTAAAAATACTTTATCAGATTTTTTAGACCTCAATTTTCCAGAAAATGATTCGATATTTAACACGTTCCACAGTTCCAGACTCCAACTGACTGTACAAGCATATAGGTTGTGACAACAATGCCAGAGTGCTACAGTTCAAGAAGGAATCGACTACCTTGAAAAACGGCTTCTCTCGGGCTTCATCCCTTGACCTCTATATTTCCAGCTACTCAAATCCATCTTTCTGGCATAAAAAATGTTCACATAATTCTAAAGCATTCGCCTGTCAAAATTTAAAAACCTATGGTACCTTCTTAGTTGCCTTACTTTCTATACGGCACATTTGCATAATCCTCGTCAAAATTTATATATTTTCAGTTCAAGTTGTGCGAGAATGGCTGCCATATTTGCTAGACGTAACAATCCTCCCCCACTGAAAAGTATAAATAAGCTTTAATAATTGTGGACCATTTTCCGCGCTTTTTGAAAAAAATATTTTGGCAAAAAGGTTATAACGTCTTCATTTTTAGTTTTACGTGTGGGCAAAAAACAGCAAAAAAGTAAGGCTATATAATATAGCCTTTACTTTTCGTCCATTTTTAGCCACTTATGTCATTTTTCATAAGTGGGCAAAAAACAGCAAAAAAATAAGGCTATAGCCTTAACTTTTCGTCCATTTTTAGTCACTTATGTCATTTTTCATAAGTGGGCAAAAAACAGCAAAAAAGTAAGGCTATAATAGCCTTAACTTTTCGTCCATTTTTAGCCACTTATGGCATTTTTCATAAGTGGGCAAAAAACAGCAAAAAAGTAAGGCTATAATAGCCTTAATTTTTCGTCCATTTTTAGCCACTTATGGCATTTTTCATAAGTGGGCAAAAAACAGCAAAAAAGTAAGGCTATATATAGCCTTAACTTTTCGTCCATTTTTAGCCACTTATATCATTTTTCATAGGTGGGCAAAAAACAGCAAAAAAGTAAGGCTATAGCCTTAACTTTTCGTCCATTTTTAGCCACTTATGGCATTTTTCATAAGTGGGCAAAAAAAAGCAAAAAAGTAAGGCTATAGGCTTAACTTTTCGTCCATTTTTAGCCACTTATGTTATTTTTCATAAGTGGGCAAAAAACAGCAAAAAAGTAAGGCTATATATAGCCTTTACTTTTCGTCCATTTTTAGCCAGTATCATTTTTCATAAGTGGCAAAAAACAGCAAAACAATAAGGCTATAGCCTTAACTTTTTTGCTGTTTTTTTTCCCACTTATGAAAAATGCCATAAGTCGGTAAATAAAAAGTATATGGACAATATGGTCAGAATTTCGCCTGTATGAAATAGAGGTGTGCAAATCCGATTTGTTCGGATTTTGGAACCAAAATATTCATTTTGGATCGGATTGATAAAGTTGTTTCGTAGTTGGATCGGACTTTGATGTCCAATATAAAATGAATTAATTAATAAAGTAAAAAAAGCAACTTGTGGTTCCGGTTTCATATCGCGGTAGTCCCCCCCCCCATCCATGACACTTGTGACGTCAGGTACATACGGGACTTCGGGGGCGGGTTTTGGCGGGAAAACCTGTAATGTTTGGAGAAGACAAGATGGCGCTGGTTACCTCGTGTTATATCAAAGGGCATTTTTGTTCACAAATACCCGCTTATTTTACGTTATAGCGACTGGTTCGTTTTGGAAATTATAACTCAATGGACGGGGAAAATGATTCTGTATTAAAGAGAAAAAGATCTGCAGTTATTGTGATGTTATTTATTGTGAAAGACGGCCCGAAATTTCGCTACTTCGCTGTAGTACGGCTGTACTGGTTTATAAAACATTTACAAGCAACAGCAATTGAACTATATGACAAAGAAACCAACGTGTACAAGCCAATCGAGTTCTTCAGTTTAAAGGTCAGTTTATTTTTAATAATTAGTTCATGTAGTTATATATTAATACGAAGTACAGGGCCATTCCATTTAATATCGAGTGATTATCCACACCCTCCTGTTGACTAGATTTTCCGAAGGGGGTCTGAAATTTTGAATTTCTGAGGGTGTGCCAAGTTGAAATTTCCGAGGGGGTTTGTGAAAGGAAAGTTTCTTAAGGTGTCAACATTTTTGTAATTTTCCAAGGAGTTAAAA